GACAGCTCAGGTCATACAGCTACTTGGAATCCCATAGTCAGACATTTAGACTATCAGGGCCTAGAAAAAATTGTGACACCCACACAAATCACATATCTACTGATGAGTTAAAGAAGTCAGACACAAAATTGCATGTACTGTGTGGTTCCATTTACATGAAGTTTAAAAATAGGCACGTTGAATCTATGGTGACAGAAGTCCAATTGTTGTGACCCTTGGTGGGATACCAACTTACAGAAACCATAGGGAACTTGTATGATGTTACTGTTTGTTGTTCTACTCCAAGGATTATAATTTAAATTTCACTTTAATTTTAATAGCACTTCAACTGACCTGACAATCACTTTAGGAAATACCACTTCAGCTAAATCCACAACAACTTTAACTTCTACTGATCCTACTACTACGTGGTTACCATTATTACCAACATTTCAATTCAACCCTCTACTAATAGTACTTCAAGTGAACATAATTCTTACCCTACTTCACCTAAAATGCAACTATCACAATGTCTACTAACTCTACCACTATCATCATGTCAAATTAAGCTACATCTATTCCTTCAGCTGAGCCTACAATTTCTACAGCTACTTCTATTTCAACTAAACATACAGCCCACAACAAGTACCAGCACAACCACTCTTTTCGCTTCCAGTGAATCTTCTACTGTAAATGCTAATGCCACAACTCTCATGGCAAAACACTACAATGGCCTTCTCTACCAGCAACCCAATCTTTAATTACTACCTTGATTATGTTACATCTAACCATCCCCACAGTCACTCATACTCAAATTTGAATCTACAAATGCTATCACAAGTGTTTGTTTGGTCAACAGAAATATTTCACTGGACCTTATAGTCATAAAACTTAAACTACTCCAACAATAACAAGTTGGCCCATTATCAATGACACAACACCAAATCCATCTCATTTATTTTCTATATCTATCAGATCTCCATTTTATTGACGTTTTAGTGGAAGTTCTAGTTTTCAGTCCAGTACAAATTATGGTAGTTGTAGTTTCAAATAGAGCTATGCTAGTTTCAATTTCATTTAACCTGGTAATGGTTGTGACAGTACTTTGTTCAGTGGATACAACAGAAGAAGTACATTTGTGGTGATGCCGGTTATGCTTGTAAATTCCATTGGTAATGGTTATGGCTTCAGGTGAAAGTAGTGGTTCCTCTGGAAGCTGTAGTTTCAACTGAAGCAGTAGTAGTTGTGGGTTCCATACAAGTGTCTCCTCAGTTGACATAGTGTTACTTGTAGGTTCAGCTGACACATGATGCTTGCTGTTGGGGTTGTCATTTCTGCTAATGTGCTAGTGGAGACTGGTAATAGGTACGGTTGAAGTATGGTTGGTGTTCTGTAGGTTCTATTGAAATGGTGGTGGTGGTGGTGGTAGCTGTTATGATTGTACATACAGTAGAAATTGAAGTTGTTACAGACTGGCTACAACCACAACAGCTGCACCAACAATGGCACTGCTGTGCACTCCTCCACTGCAGTCAACCCTATTATTTCAACAGCCATCAATATCACACTCACAGAACAAAGAACCATAGCTAGCACTATGTCAAGTTCATCTACTTCATCAGAACTAGCATCTCTACCTATACCAGCAGGCTCCACAATTTCTACTGAACCTACAACTACGGCAGCCTCTTTCCCCACTATAGGCTGAACCAATGACTGCAATAGCCACCGGTATGATAACTGAACCTGTATCTAGTTCCATAATAATTTACTCTACAATTTACTCTATAATCACAAATAGGAACAATGACTTCACTTTTGCCTAATATGACAAAAGCCTCTAACACTACCAGCACTACCCTCTGTTGGGACCTGCTGCCACAATATTAATCACTCCCCCTTCAACTGAACACATAGCCACATAAACAGAAATTGAATATACAGTCCTATTAGGTTTCTTTTATGGAATATTATCACTGCTAAAGAAAAGTTTTTAAAAATAATATACCAAATCAATATTAAGGAAGTTGTTCTCATTTTTGTTGTCAATAGACATTCTGCATGGATGCCTGGGTGGCACAATCAGTTAAGCATCTGCCTTTGGCTCAGGTCATGATCCCAGGGTCCTGGGATTGAGCCCCACATCGGGCTCTTTAGTTAGTAGGGAGTCTGCTTCTCCCTATTGCTTCTCCGACTTGTGTTCGCTCTTTCTCTCTCTCTCCCAAATAAATAAATAAAATCTTTAAAAAAAATAAAATAAAAAATATAATCATCAATATTATTTGGAAAGTCTTCTAGTAATAAATATTGGGCTTAATCTCTAAGCCTCTATTCTAGGAAAGGACTGGTATTATGCTTTGCCTAACATTAGGAAAAGAAACTTCTCAGATGTACACCTCTCAAACTAAGAAATTTAAAAAGGAGTTGATGGAAATTTGCTAAACATTTACATCTACCCAAAGTGAAATCAGGACAAATGTAGGAGGCTGCCTATATCAGAGGACTACTAAAAGATTGAATAAAATCCCCTCCTTTCTAATCCTGACAGTACCTGACAGGTCCCACTGATAGGCTTCTTTGGAGCCTTCCGGTATTGATCCCGACACGTTCTCTGGCTAACATTTCAACTCGATTTACTATCTGGCAGCATGAAATTCTGGCCAGGACTGTCCTCATTGGAGTCCAGCTCCTGCTGGCTGCTTCCATTACATTATCCTTTCTAAGTGTGTGTTTTTGTCTGTGGGATGCTGGTAATAAAGACACCTGACTTACAGGACGAACATGGAGCTTTGTGCAAATCAAACAGTGCTGTAACTTCCAAACCATCAACAAGTTAGGCAGTGGACACTGGGCCAGGCTCCTGAGTGATTGAAGCCACTCCGTTCAAACCCCTGAGCCTGTGCCATCAGCCTGACCACAGGGCTTTTGTCACAGGGCTGTTCTGAGGCCAGAATCAAGTAATACATGCCATGTGGTAAGAACACAGCTGGTCATGTAGTCAATGCTGTAGAAGGATCTGTGAGATGATGATAATGAAGACAGAGCAGCAAATATTGCTTATTAATGTTCCCGGATACGCAGCACAAAAACAAAAAGAATGCAAGGTCTGGAGTCAAATTTGAGTTTAAATCCAAAAGCCCTGATATCAAAAGCAAGTTTCTTCCTTCCTCTGAGTCTTGAGGTTTGGTTTTTTGCTTATTTATCTCTAAGGTGGTGAATAACATTTACCCCAGCAGTCTTCGGGGAAAGAATCAAAAAGAGGTTGCAATTTTATTTTTTAAATTATTTTAAACTCTGATTTTTCCAAATCAGAGTTTTGGATTCTAAAGATTCAGGGTTGACTTTTATATCTGATTCATAAATAGGCCAATACCTGGCAATTTCCTCAATGTCCTAAGCTCCTATTTCTTCACAAGAAAAGGTAGACTTCTATCCAAGGATAATTGTAAGGATGAAAGAAGATAATAGTGTATATAACATATTTGGTACAATTCCTGACACTTGCTCAATTTTAGAATCTGTGATTAGCTCACTGTCGTTTGCTCTTATAACTGAGCTCAGGGCAATAGGAGAGAGGAGCACATGGCTGACACCTTGGAAAGGAATGGAATGTGTTTCACTGCTAGAAAACATGGGCTTCAATTTTGGGAAGGAAGCCCCAGGTTGGATGTCCAGGGTGTCAATTAAGAGAAACAGACACTAAGCACAAAGCCAGGGAACAAGGAGCACCAACAGTCACCAAATGTCACTTTGTCCCACAGGGTTGAGGCATTGGTGAAAATCAATGACTGCCCTCACCACTCAGAATAGTCATGATCTATGCTGGGGTCTGAATCAAACCAGGAGCAGGATGAGGGGCAGGCAGACTAGAACCTTGCAACACAACTGAGCACGCAGCCTAGTCCACCACTAACTTAACACTTGAACCCTTGCAAAAATGTGGCCCTTCCAGAACAATGTTTCCCCCATCTGTTAAACAATGAAAGACCAGATGGTAACTACATCTCCTTCTGTTCGGTGATAGATACATTGGCAAGCAAGAAGTCATATTAAGTAACTCCACCAGATCACGGTCATTCATTCTCCCTTTGCTCTCAGACCTAAAAGGTCTCTTATATTGTGCCAAGTGTTAAGTTCAGAGAGAGACAAACCAAGAAACAGATTCTTAACTCTAGAGAACAAACTGATGGTTACGGGGTCGGGTGGGGGGGGAATGCAATGGGTGAACTAGGTGATGGGGACTAAAGAGTGTACTTGTGGTGAGCACTGGGTGATGTATAGAACTATTGAATCACTATATTGTATATGAGAAATTAATATAGCACCATATGTTAACTATACTGAAATTAAGATTTTTAAAAATTATTTTTTTAAAAAAGAGAGCTAAACTGAGACCCTTCTTAATGAGCCTCTAAGCAGGGTGGTGGTACCAGGTGGGGTGAATGCTGGAGCCCAGAAAACCCAACTAAACAGCTGAACACCATCAATAATCAGTCAAGATCAGATTTCTCCCTAGAGGTAAGAGACATGGCCATAAAGCCAGGTGAATATGCAGTCAGAAACACAGATCTGAAGCCAGTCACCAAGGAGAGAAGACAAAGCAGGGTGTGGGAGGACTGAAGACAGAAGGGCTAAAAGAAGGGCTATAGTCAGTCTTAGAGGTGGGAGGGAAGGACAGTGAGGCCAACCACCACAAAGTAGCCCTGGAGCATTAAACACAACACATTGTTTCCCACCTATGACTCTTTTGCAAAACAGGTCTTTCATTGTAGAATATTGACTCTTTTCACACTTACTTAACCCACATAAAACAGGGGTCCCCAAAATTGCTTTATCATCTTTGATGGTTCTACTATCCTCTACCTGTGTGCATTTTTATTCCCAAAGAACAGTGGCTCTTAGAAGGCAAGCCCTCACAAATCCTTCCTTGCTTACCCTTTCTGTGCACTCTACTGATAATAAATTGATTTTTTTCAATTTTTTTGCACAGAAATGGTGGTTATATGTAACCAAAGCATTACCTGTCCATGACAGAGGTCTCCCTTTGGACATCGTGAGCATCCAGGAGTCCCCAGGTGCTGGCGACACGTGTGCCAGCATCATCACTGACATCAACTGATGGTGGAAACTGAGGTACTGTGCTGTGAGTTTCCGGTCACCTAGACTTGAGAATGGCCACCGGAACTAAGCATTTGGAAAACAGGAAATTCACCGAGTTGAACATCCTAAGTAAAACTATCCCAACTAATATAACCTATTTATTCATGTAAGTTATATTTTATTCCACTGATCAAAATAGCTCTTAACGGGAAAAAAAAAAAGAATGTTGTCTTATTTCAGTATCACGGGATAGCGGAAGATCATTATTGACACAATTCCTCTGTAAGAACAAAAGTCAACAAGTCTATTCTTTCAAAGTAACAAAATAGAGTCAGAAATATATAATTAAAATACAATAGTACTAAAATACTTAACAGTAAGGGGCAATTAAGGAGTAGGAAAGGTTTGGTATCAACCAAATTAGTAGCAGTAAATGTAGTTAAGAGAACTATACTGTAGAGTATTCACTTAAGTAGGGACATTGACTGGGTGAGGCTCAGCAGACTAGTTCATAAACTACATAAAGCTGTTATACATCCAAGTCATAAAAATCTTCCAGTTCATAAAATAAATCCCATTCATCTTCAAAGTCTATGAGGCCACTGTCCCCACTTGTTTTTTTGTTTGTTTTTCTTTTCTTTTCTATCAGGCCACTGTCCCTACTGTTATTTTTTGTTTGCTTTGCTTTGCTTTGCTTTGCTTTGCTTTGCTTTGCTTTGCTTTGCTTTTCTTTTCTTTTCTTTTTTAATGTGCTTGTTTTTGCATTTCTGGCCTATTATCCAAACCAATCCCTCAGGAAATGTTCTCTTCTGAATATTATGGGGGACAGCCCATCTTAGGGGCAGGGTAGAGGGGCCTGGTTTGAGTAGGCAGACAGTGAAACTTCCCAGGAAGGTAAACAGGAGGTAGGTGGAGCCTGCCAGGTGCCCTATTGGCTCTGAGATGTGTGAGGATGTATGAGCAGCTCCTGATAAAGGGGCAGTGTGAGGAAGGACTGGGATGCACTGAGCACTGGGGAGGCTCAGAAAAACAGAATCAGGTTGGTGGTGCTGCAGCCCTGCCCACTCTTTCCAAAAGAAGCCTGCTCTTGGGGGGTTTGGGGAAACTCTTGGGTGCCTAAGTGCCCCTCCTATGAAGTCTGGCTCAAGACACCTAACAAGCACACCCCAATCTTGACTGATTTTTAAAGAATCTTATAATGTTTCATTTCTTAAGCTGAGTGGCAGATACAGGGCATTGAATTTCTCTTTAAATCTTTTGAATAGCTGAAATGTTTTCTATTTGATTTGTAGTGGTTTTTTTAGTAAGCTTAGAAAGAATAAGATATTAGAAAGAATAAGATATTATTTTAAAGAGGAGTAGAGTTAGTTATATCAGAATCTGGGGGAACATGTTGTTACCTCTAGAAACACCATAGAATAATCTAGGACTTTTTTCATAACAGGATAGAAAACGTGCTATTTACATGTTCTCTAAGTCTTGTAATTCCTACATGGTTATTAAATTTGCTGACCAACAATGTTAAATGGGTCAGTTATTGTGTGGGTAGGAAACTGGTCCATTGTAACTCAACCACTAAAATATAACTATTATTGTGATTAAATATGGACAAGCATACCTTTGAGGTAAAGTATTGGAGGTGCACTTTCGAAGTTAACAATTGCAAAGGAATAAGTAAATTTCAGCAACATTCTGATAATCACTCAGGAGCACTGAGGAAATCTGGATTCAGCACTATAAATAGCTGTGCTTTTTTAAACATGTGTTAATAGGATACTTTAGTATTCAGTAATTTCTTAATTTGCCTGAGGTTGATGATCTTAAACATTTAACACACTCTAATCAAATCAAACGTCACTCATCAGGTCAGCTTCCTGAATCTTATTCTCATCTTAGAAACCCAGCCATTTCTAAAAAGGAAAACTGACAGGTAGTATCTTTATCTGGGATGAAAAACCAACAATTTCGGGGCCACTATGCTACATCATATGAATGGAGAATTTGGGGACAAATGCTGAGCCCAGATCTTAACTCTTATCATTGATGTTCTGGTTTGACATTAAACTTTAAATTTTGAATAGATGGAGATCTGAGAATAATGCTTAATCAGCTATTCAAAAGTAGTCACTAAGGTTATTCACTGCAATGGAAATATATTTGTTATACTTATTGAAAAATTATCATGCTATAATTTAAGGTGTAATATTCTGCTGGGAGGGATAAAAAGCCTAGATTGCTTTTCAAATGTAGCTTTCTAGTGATATTTTATTGCATTGGTTGAAATTGTACTAGGATGGGCTAGGTTTCTCCACCGCTATGTCAAAATATCCACATAAAAGTAAAATTTCTAATCAGAGAACCATATGCATATATCCTACACCTTGTTTTTATAGGATTTGAAACATTTCTGTTATTATCAAAACTTTGTTACTATCCAGAAAAACCATCAACATGATGAACTAATGCCTCACTAAAGGCAACTACTTTTTGTTTTAATCTGAGTACTTCAGCATATTGAAGATTCAGTTCTGAGGATTCAGACACATCTGAAGACCTTTCTCGGAGGTCATGTAAACGAGAATCAATGAATTTTTTTTTAATCTCTTGCTTTTGAGACAGTAGTCTCTTCCTTGATGTTTAATCATTCAACAAATATTTATCGAACAACATGATTTCCTTAGTCTATCTCATGGGTGGAAAAAGAAATTCTCCAGGCACTTATAAATTATTCTTAAACTGTCTATTTCAAACTACATATCTGTATTTGTTCCTACTATCAAGACAAATGTAAAAACTAAACAATGGGTTAACTCTTGGATATGAAAAACATAACTGCCAAAATGATGTCTATACAAGCCAAGGTTTCTTGGTTTCTTTATTGGACTTTTAGAGTATATTTAAATTAATTTCTGATTTTCAACTATTAGGATCATTTGAGTTATAAATTTTTAGAATTAGCTTCAAAAATCTATTAATTATAGACCAAAACCTAAATAACAGACTTAAAAAAATACTTTAAAAAATGCTGAAGCCACATTATATATGTTTATAACCGCATTTATTATTTTAATTATAGTTCCAGGAAAATACTAATATTTTAGATTAATAATACATAAAATAAAATTTTAAACTATGTTTACATGTAGCACAAAAAATACAAGATTTCTGATTTATAGATATTGGTTGAAAAGACAATAAATTGCCTTTCCCTGGCCAATTATAATTGTCAGGGTTTTTTTGGTAAAGAATACATAAGCACTGCTTCTGTGATGTCATATGAAAAGCATTTGGGTTTTCTATTTAGACCAGAAATAAAATTCATATAGACAAGATATCAAATGAAATAACCAATACTCACAGGCTGGTTTCTAAAGGGTTTCACAGTTATTATGTATTTTCCGCATTTCCTTTCCATTCTGGAGCTGCCCACATCATGGGTTTAAACCCAGGACTATTTCTCCTTTCGACCACTGCCATTTATATCTGCAACCTTGAATAATAGTTTAGTTGACTGAGAACAAATTGTGATGCATCTGTGCAAGTGTTGAATAAAATAAATATTAAATATAATTCCTAGCAGAGGACTTAGAGTCCTTGAAGTAAAATACTGCTAACAATGTGAAACAAGAAAACCAATCTCACCTCTGAGAGGTATTGTTGCTTTTTTCTCCGCAACCAATCCAGCAGAAGCAAACTATGATAATACTACACCATGCTTTCTCCTCTCCCCATTTGTCAGCAAACCTCACACATCCTTCCTCCAGAGTTCAAGGCTTATCTATGATAGAATTCTTTTTTTTTTAAGAATTTATTTACTTATCTAAGAGAGAATGAGAGAGAGAGCGCGAGCACGAGAGGGGATAGGGTCAGAGGGAGAAGCAGACTTCCCACCAAGCAGGGAGCCTGATGTGGGACCCGATCCCAGGATTCCAGGATCATGACCTGAGCCGAAGGCAGTCGCTCAACCAACCGAGCCACTCAGGCTCCCTATGATAGAATTCCGAAGTCAACGAAGTTTCCAGTTGCTTCATTTCAAACCTAGAATGACTCTGCTCTCTCCCTATGTTGGTACACCTTTAAGACATTCGTGACTCCTGCTCATCAGCTTTGACCTTCTCAAGCTCGCCTAGTGCTTTGAATTTCTCAGGGCTGTTACCCAGCATTTGACAGAATTAAATTCTCTGAGTCACACTTGCTTAGGTTCCAACCCCGTGTTTCCTAAAAATGAGGACACCACGATCTAATAAATCGGTTACTACTAATGTATTTGCCAAATTCCTTTTCTCTTGCAGAGTACTACATAAACCTACTTTTTTAGACTTTTGGCACACTTTTGGTGCCTTAAAAATTATAGTTAAGGGGTATATCAGTAAACATTCCTTTCTAGTCCTTCCATTTTACTTCAGAGAGAAACTTCCCTTTTCTTCTTTGTAGAAAAGTCTTTATTATCAACATATTTTAGGAGTTAAGAAATAAGTTAGCTACTGAACTGAAAAACAACCCAACAGAATCAAACACGTATGCCCAAAGAGACCTTTAAAATGATCACAAAAAGTTTTTTGGTGAGAACTATATTAGAATAATATAAAGTTTTCAAATAAATTTATCTGAAGGCCTAAAGTAATCAAAAATAACCCCTTGAAAACAAAGCAATCAGGGTAAAATAGTTTTTTTTTTTCTTTTGGGAAAATGCCTATTTCATTAACCCTCATTGTTTAGAAGTCCATCAAATTTGTCAGATCAAAATCACTCACTGACAACCTAAAATTAAAAGATCCTACAAAGATGTTAAAATTGATATTACCAAGTGTTGGTGAAATGCAGATCAGCTGGAACTCTCACACACTATTGGTGGGAGTGGAAAATGGTACTACTACTTTGGAAAACTGCAGTTTCTGCTGAAGTGATACACACCTACCCTATGACATAGCAGCTCCACTTCTAGATAGATCCCCAAGATCCTGAGTGCATACGGCCA